CAAATGGGCTTGACTGAAATGTTTAGCAGGTAACTGAATTATTCCCCACTTGGTGGTGGTGTTCTGTTGACAAATGCTCATTAGTACTTTGCTTAGTGTGTGTGTCAGAAAACCAGTTCTCCTCACCCCCACCCCCGAGTGTGTATAGACGTCAGAGGAGCAGCTAATATTAATACATGAAGTATTCAGCACTAACCGGGCAAGGTGCACCCAGCTGGGCTGGGCCTTTTCATCTTTCTGCAAGCTCTTAGTTCTCATAGATGTGTCATTAGATATATAAGCTCTGAGTCTGAGCTGCCTCTCCCAAGAGGCACTTCCTAGCTGGGCCTAGAATTTACACACTTCATATTCTGGGCCCAGTACCCAGCATAAGTTAGAGCAGCGCTGGGACTTCCTCTCTCCCCCTGCCTTGAAAAACCTTGCGCAGTTTCTTCCCCTTTCTGTAAATGTGATCTTACAAATATTGCTTCATATTTTAGGTGGCCCAAAAAGGACCCATCCTACAGTTCCTGGCATTCCAGGTGGAACAAGAGCTGGGGCAGGTAAAATAGGCAGAATGATTGCTGAAGAAATCATGGAGATTCATAGGTGAGAGAAACTGGTATTCTGATCTAACTTAACAGATAAATTGTGTTACGAAGAAAGTAAGAAATGCCCCACATTTTTTATTTCCATATAATAATCTATCAGGGATGATCTTTGACGGTGCTTGTCCTGCCTTAAGGGCAGGGGATTGGACTTGATGATCTCTCGAGGTCCCTTCCAGTTCTAGTGTTCTAGGATTCTATAAGCACCAACTATGACTTTGCAGTTGCAGTATAGCGGGTATTACAGTGAAATTTTATCTGTTCTAAGGGTACTCTGACATGATCAAGACAGAAATGACATCGTAACCGAGAAATTGTTTCTTCTTCGTCTTTTAAAGTAATTTGTGTACATGCTTACTGTAATAATCTGATTCCTTGTCACTGTAATCAGTTTAGCAGCTTTGGAAGAGGCAGAAAGAAATTAGCTAATAGTGAAAGAGGTTAGCTCTAGAGAGAAATCAATGAAGAAAATAGTCTGGGGGAAAATTAAGTTTCACAGGAATAAACAATGTGGCCCCTGAATACCAAAGAATGTTGAATAGGAACAAAGATGTTAAGATTAATAGGTAACCCGCAGAAGAACAAGGAATGCTAGGTGATTTATCAATAGATGTAAGTTACATAAAGGTCTCAAATACAGGACACTGCCAGAGGGGCAGGGGGAGGCGGGAGAAGGAGAGCTCAAGGATTGTCTGGGCTTAGGAGGTGCCCCATGGCTATTCTGGGGAGAAGGTTGTGTGGGTGTCTTGAGACCAATGAGAGAGTTTTTTTCCCCCAAGATATGGCCGGGCACGTGACACAGCCAGACTAAGACGCCCAACAAAAGAATAACAGGGAAACGGGAACTGGGTTGTTGTAGGAGTTTCTTTTACTCTGTAATCCTGGGGAAATGTGTTTGTTGTCTCTTTAGTTAGAGACATGCTTGCTGACACCAAAATAATTTAAACTGGTGTGATTATATTATGCTATTTTGAGACAGAATATATGCAAAATTTTAAAATATTGTGCACGGAACTTTTAATTTTTTGGTGAAGAATTCCCCCAAGAGTACATGCATGGACAGAGCTGGTGCCTAAAAATGGGATTCAGAGAAGCCAGCATGCTGAGCGGGAGGCCACTTTGGGTGCATCTACACAGCACGGTTATTTCAAAATAACAGATGTTTTTCGTCGAGTAGTGTCCCCGAGGGTGCTCCACTCGAGATGCTGGGCTTGTCCCGGTGCCGCAAACCGGAGGATTTTTGGTAACAGTAGCCCTACTGGACCACACATGCGCAACTGCTGTCTCGTGCCGCTCAGCTGAGCGCGGTCTGGTCTTGTCAGTTTCCCTTCAACCGTCCGCAGCCGCAGACGGAGTTAGGATGCGCTCCCCCTCCTGCCTGAGGAGAACGAGAGATTAGTTTTAGAAATAGAAGTTTTTCCTCAATTTACTGTTTATTAGCGTTAGCTTAGTTGTTTTCTTGGTAGATACAGTTCTATTTAAAAAAAAAATGTTCTTGTCATAGTTCAAGTTTTAAGTTTCAGTCAATAGATAAAGACCTATGCCAGGATCATCAAGCTTTAAGAAATGCACCTAGTGCCAGGATGCCATGCCAACATCAGACGGGCACTCGTGGTGTATAAAATGCCTTGGAGAGGGACATGTTCCGCTTAAGTGCAGTCACTGCACTAAATTAACCACCCGTGCCAGGCGTGACTGGGAGCTGAGGCTGAGAGTGCTTTTATTTAACAAAGCCCTTCAGACCTCTGATAGGAATGAGCCGTCTTCCACTGCCTCAGGGACGCATGAGGCTCGTCCACTGGCTCAAGGATCTCCTCACAGGACCTCTTATCCCTTTGAGAGGGTGAGTGTCGGAGACAGATCAGACACCTCTGGCGTTCTGCTGAGGTGTCCCATTGACAGGACCGGCAAGGGCCGCAGCTCATCAGCCCCAAACTCCGCCCGCACCAAAGACCCGGTATCTGCACCTGCAAAAGGGCCGCGAGACTCGGCACTGGCAAAGGCTACAACAGCCGGTTTGAAGCCGGCAATGGCCGCTGCGGCACCGGCTTATCGGGCGCATGCACAGGTGAACGCAAGTGTGCCGGCACCCACAGCACTGGTGCTGGCAACTGCACCTCCGCTTTCCTCAGTGCCAGAGGCACCAGCATCAGCGCTGCAGGCAGGCACCGTCACTCCACGGCCCTCGGCACTGACACTGCCTCCTCCGGTCCCACAACTAACTACTCCAACGGCACCTACTCCAGCGGCATTGGTGCTTCACCTGGGCTACAGCCAGTCTGTGGAGACTGTTTCTTTACCACCCACCTCATTGCAGACGGCACCCTCTTCCCCTCTCAACTGCTCCTTGCAGACCAAGGCACAGCACAAGTCAAGATGAGTCCGAACACCATCGCTCACTCCATACCGCGCTGTTTTTTCTCCTGGATCTTTGTCACTGACCTCATCACCGCGCTCCTCATTAGAGATCAACCAGGGACCATTACTACAGGTCACCTCATCAGTCACTGCCACGAAGATATTATCGAGCGCATTACTCTCTATTTTACTAGAGTCTTCAAGACCTTCAGGATATTCACGTCGGCATGGAACACTACGAGGGTATTCGCCAAGATGCTCACCAGGCTCATATCATCACAGACTGTATTATGACCCTTACTACCACGAACGTCATTCCTCACCTGGCAGGAGGTACCCGCGTTCGTGATCCCCGCGCCCTAGTAGACTGGTCTCTCCACACTTGCATCATTAGAATCCCACACTCTGACGGTTCTACCAACTCCTGTGGAGGACTCTTCCTTGATCCAAACTCATGAGAAACAGCAAGACAACTACACTCCAAGCCGGAAACCTCAGAGACTTGATTTCCCTGCTGACCACTCATCTTTATCACCAGACGATGCAGTTTTCCCCGGAGATTTATCTCCTTTCAGGATATTCACGTTGGTATGGAACACTACGAGGGTATTCTCCAAGATGCTCACCAGGCTCATATCATCACAGACTGTATTATGACCCTTACTACCACGAACGTCATTCCTCACCTGGCAGGAGGTACCCGCGTTCGTGATCCCCGCGCCCTAGTAGACTGGTCTCTCCACACTTGCATCATTAGAATCCCACACTCTGACGGTTCTACCAACTCCTGTGGAGGACTCTTCCTTGATCCAAACTCATGAGAAACAGCAAGACAACTACACTCCAAGCCGGAAACCTCAGAGACTTGATTTCCCTGCTGACCACTCATCTTTATCACCAGACGATGCAGTTTTCCCCGGAGATTTATCTCCAACTGAAGACCATAAGCAATTTCAAGAACTCTTTTAAGAGGGTTGCTCAATCTCAGAGCATTCAGACTATGGATGTTCAACAAAAATACAATCTTTTACTTGAGAACTTGCAACCTTCCCAGAAATCGAAGTTGGCGCGTCCCTTTAATGATGCCATTTTGGAAATTGCCAACAATATCTGGCAGACTCCGGTTACGTCCTTGCTGACCAACAAACGATCGGATAAGAAATATTTCATAAACCAGAAGGGTATGGAGTTCTTGTTTACTCACCCCTCCAGCCCAATTCCCTTGTCATGGATGCTGCACAACAAAGGTCCAAGACAGCACAAGCTAAAAATACCGCAAATGACAAAGAGGTCAAATACCTAGACTTCTTAGGCAGGAAAGTGTACTCTTCTGCCACTTCTGCACGGAGAATGAGTAATTACGCGACTCCCCTCGCAAATCATGATTTTGACAATTATTCAAAATAGTTCCTCTTTTAGAACATTTACTGGACTCAGTGTCAAATTCTAAAGGCGGTAATACAGGAGGGCTGCACAATGGCCCAAACAGTATTGCAGATCACTCTTGACACTGATGGCACAGCGGCTCGTGCCACAGCTACTGCTGTAGTCGTGCTTCATGCTTCCTGGTTACATCAAGCTGCCCCGAAAGATCTACTAAACAAGGTAGAAGACTTTGAGCGACGAGTGACTGGCGATCAATCAGCCAATCAGGTATTCCATTCTGGCAAGGAGTTTGCAAAGTCATGCGGGACACTGGGGATGTACTCGCCTTTCTATAGACACAAGAGATACATGCCATATAACAAACAGAGGCCCTTCTCTTATGCGGCACCTCGAGCCAGACCATATGAACAGCAGAGGCCAAGACAGCGTCCGCAAAAGCAACATCAGCAGCCTAACAAAGCACCCGTCCACCAGCAAGGTCGGCAGCAGGTTTGATGTGCTGATCGAGGGACTGTGTACCACCCCTTTCACGGAGGCTCCAGACAATGTGCAAGGCTTATTCCATCAACGGCTGAGACCTTATCAACAACGTTGGTCTCTTATAACCATCGACAGTTGGGTCCACAACATAGTTGCTTTAAGATACGTCATCTTTTTCAATTCCATCTCTCCCCCCTGCCCCGTCTCTTTTCAGGACCCCTCTCACAAGACTCTTCTACAACAAGAGGTCTCTTGTTTGCTTACCATAGGGGCAGTGGAGAGGGTAACAACTCAATTTCATGGGAGAGGTTTTTACTCTCGTTACTTCCTCACCCAGAAGAAATTAGGGGGGTTGGAGGCCTATCCTGCACCTACGTTGTCTGAACCGCCACCTGCAGAAACAAAAGTTCAAGATGGTCACGTTAGCCTCTATTATCCCAGCTTTCAACAAAGGGGATTAGTTTCGCATCCCTCGATCTACAGGATGCCTATTTTCATATAACAATACATCCTGCCCACAGGCGGTTCCTTCGGTTCATAGTAGGAGCCGACCATTACCAATACTGAGTGTTACCTTTCGGACTTTCAGCAGCGCCACAAGTTTTTTCCAAAACCCTGGCTTACCTTCGTCATGATCTTTCCGTATTTGGACGATTGCCTAATAAAGGACCCCGCTCTCGACGAAACTACATGGGCAGTTACCACTATTGTGACGGTGTTCGAGACTCTCGGGCTCATAATCAATTTCGAGAAGTCCTCCTTGACACCGAGTTATAA